GTGCGCTTAGAATAAACAGACGATATCGTTCGCTGGTGTGGACGCTAATATCGTTATCTTTATAGTTATCGTTCTTGGTGTGAACGGGGCTTTAGTCCTGTGTCAAATGTAACTTTTAGTATTTATCATATTTAGTCAACTTGTCCTGTTTTAGTTTTAGTCAAGTTTTAGTTGGTGGAAACATTTCATCAGAAGTTGCTCTTTCACCAATAAGCACAAATCAATAGAATATTGACTCGTATGCATTAAAGCAATAAGCCCCAAGAAGCTAAGGGAAGCGGAGTGCCTAAAACCCCCTTAGCTGTTATAAATTCACTGTAAACCACGGCTTCACGGGGCTTATTGCTTTTATAAAACGGTTATTCCATATACGTAGTAAGGTTTCACAAAATAAAACGGAGCAAATAAAGTGTAATGATATTAATAAAAACAGTATTCTTCCACCAAACAATGTAGCTCCTCAGAATCAGTTGTGGTTCCAACAAAGTGGTTGCCGAGCAACACACAGAAGTAAACAAAGGGGTTTGTTTGTAGAGGAATTTACTACAGCTTCGAACGCGGCTCAGCCAATCAGAATCAAGGACCGGAACTCTCCGTTTTATAAGGTTTATTGTACCTCATCTAGTGTACAGATTTATAAATCAATTAGAGGCTAAATAAACAAAGACTTCAGATATACAACTCTGGTTGGGGGATTTGAGGTCTTGATATCTGGCAACCGCAAACATCGCATAATAGTCTTGTACAGCAGTCTGAAATGTTTTGGCTCCACTTTTTTCAACAAAAATAAAAAGGTTTTGTTTAAGGTTTTGTTCTTTTAACTACATTTTAGTCTCGTCTTTTTTCGTCAATGATATTGCATGTTCATTTAGTCTCAGTTATCGTTTAATGACCTTGTTATCGTCTCGTCATCGTCTCGTTTTTGTCAGGGGAAAAACTTTGTTGACGAGCATTTTTCATCATAGATTTCGTTAATGAAATTAACACTACTCGAGAGAAAACAGACACTTTTTCAGCAGCCTTGGATTGGTTCTTCAATAGAGAGAGTTTGAGCCTTGAACCAAACCAACCAGCTCTGTTTCTGAAAATCTGAACAGAAAAACTGTATAAGACTGTAGGGAATCCATGCAAACAATGCAGTGATTGCAATAACATTATTGTAATAACGATGCAATTATTATATAGATATAAATACACATATCACTAAGATTTTTTTTTAAAGAAAATAATACGTTTTTTTCGCCAAGGAAGCATTAAATTGACCAAAAGTGACAGTAAAGACATTTATAATTAAATTATTATAATTCAATTATGATATAATTATACAAAAGTTTTCTATTTCAAATAAATGCCACTCTTTTGAACTTTTGAAAAAAATGCATCTCGGTTTCCACAAACATATTAAACGTTTTTTAACATTGATAATAGCAGCTTTGCCATCACAGAAATAAATTACATTTTAAAATATATTCAGATAAAAAAAAAAAAGGTTATTTTAAATTGTAATAATATTTCACAGTATTACTAATTTTACTGTATTTTAATTAAATAAATGCAGCCTTGCTGAACCGAAGATGCTTTTTTCAAAAAAAAAATTTAAAATCTGACCGATTCAGTCCAAACTTTTAAATGATTTTGAACAATATTAAAATAACATTTTTATAATTGCATTTCAAATGATTTTATTATTGTTACATTTCACTTAATTATCGAAAACATTAATTGAATCATTTTGAATATTTGTTTGTCAAGTTTAAAAGTTTTTTATATTAATTAATTTTGAAGTGGCATTCTTAGTGTAGACTGAAAACATTAGAGATCTTCTCAACTTCTTTTAAAATAACGCTCTATCCCGCTTGTCTTTAATTTTGTCTGTGTATCTGATGTCAGTTCATGCCAACATCACTGGCCTGTGAAGACGCCAGAAGCCCGAGCCAAGCTGTAGTCGCTTGACGGGGCACACGTTTTCATGCGTCTGCTCAAATATGGCCTGGTTTCTGCAGCTCCTAGTTAAACTGAATCTAATGGGAGACTGTGTGTAGTTTAGTATGTCTGGAGTTGGACACGTAATTGGTATGATTTTTAAGTGACCTCATTTGACTAATAACTCTGTGTGTGTGTGTTAGTTTCAGCCGCTCCAGTAGTATGGCCTCTCGGCAAGAGACGGACTCAGACACGCAAGATCTCTCGCTCACATCGCTGACGTTCCCATCCAACTCCAAACACACCGAGAAGAAAGTCATGGTCAACAGCGCCAGCCAATCGGTGGACTCGCCTCCGCAGCTCTCCCTCGACAACGGTAACCATGACAACGATGTCGCTGTGATGACCAGCGGCCCCTCCCGACAGATCCTGACCCATCGCTCGACCACACAGAGCAGCTCCTCGTCCTTCTCCGAGAGTCTGGATCCGGCCCTCGACCCGTCCTCGCTGCCGCCGCCCGACCCCTGGCTGGAGAGCGGGAACGGGACGGGGAACGGAGCCCCTGCCCAGCCGCTGACGGGGGCCACAGCGTGCCGGCGGGACGGTCACTGGTTCCTGAAGCTCCTGCAGGCCGAGACGGGCCGGATGGAGGGATGGTGCAGTCAGATGGAGAAAGAGACCAAAGAGCACCAGCTCTCAGAGGAGGGTAAGACTGCATATCTGGTCCATCGCTGACGTTCCCATCCAACTCCAAACACACCGAGAAGAAAGTCATGGTCAACAGCGCCAGCCAATCGGTGGACTCGCCTCCGCAGCTCTCCCTCGACAACGGTAACCATGACAACGATGTCGCTGTGATGACCAGCGGCCCCTCCCGACAGATCCTGACCCATCGCTCGACCACACAGAGCAGCTCCTCGTCCTTCTCCGAGAGTCTGGATCCGGCCCTCGACCCGTCCTCGCTGCCGCCGCCCGACCCCTGGCTGGAGAGCGGGAACGGGACGGGGAACGGAGCCCCTGCCCAGCCGCTGACGGGGGCCACAGCGTGCCGGCGGGACGGTCACTGGTTCCTGAAGCTCCTGCAGGCCGAGACGGGCCGGATGGAGGGCTGGTGCAGTCAGATGGAGAAAGAGACCAGTGAGCACCAGCTCTCAGAGGAGGGTAAGACCGCATGTGTGGACCTCGGTGTGTTCTGCTGGACTTGAGATTGTAGGGGGGGCCCTCCAAAATCTGAAGGCCCCGAATGGTCTCACATATTTATATGATGTTTATGTTCCTGTGTCAAATGAGCAGGCAGACAGGCGTTTATTCTAATAGTGCTGTCAAAAGTACTGATGTCGGTACTGAAATTTTAAAAATGTAACAATACCAGCATTTCCCGCCAGCATTTTGAGCGGATTCTTAAACACCGCTGATTGGCCATTGTGTTCACGTGCTCAACAGATTTGTCTGTGATTGGCTACAATGATCGTCGCTTCACGCTCTTCACCGAGCGCTTACACAGATGCACACGGGAGCGTTTATCAGCGGATCCGTCTATGAGCAGATATATTAGGGATCCGCTGAGAGACGTGGCTTTGAAATGTTTTTTTTTTGTTACATTTTTTTTTTAAATGTAAATATTAGATGAAAATATTATA